TTTCCATGTCCTCAGAGGGTGGGGGTGAGGTTGGGGACAGGAAAGAGGGCTCGAAGTGGCTTGGAGCTGCAGCTCTGGGATGTGGACACAGAACTACATTTTCCTGAGACCTGAAGGAAAGTGCAGCTGGTCTGGATTCCGCCAGAATCAGGCCTGGCAGGAGGAAGAGAACGTGGAAGCCTTGCTCAAGTGGAACTTTGACCACCGCTCATCTGTGCCCCTGACTGCAGAGTGAACAGTTCTTGGACTGTGCAATAAAGCAGGTTCCAAACCTTTCCGGAGTGTAGCCTGCCTCATTCCCAAATACCCGAGGGCCCAAATCTGCCTGCTCTGCACCTGGCCTGGGTGAGAACGTCCTGCATGGGGCAGGGAAACAGCAAGCAGAAGGAACCGGCACTTCAAGACCAGTGAGAGCCAGCACAAGGAATTTAGGGTGGGGAGGGCACAGAGGAGGGACCAGGCCGCTGAGGGCCTGACCATGGCCGAGGAGCTTGGGTGGACCCAAAGGGCAATGCAAAGCCACAAAAGAAAGCCAGGGAGGGATATGACCCAGTTTGATTTCTGGGATAATCTCTATAGGGTGCGTAATGGACAGGAGCCTGGTGACAGGGCCCCAGGTGAGCGGTGGTAAGGACGAGTGGGCAGATTAAAGGTCTACTTAGTAGCTAAGATGACCAGCGTGTTGGCAGTGGGAGAGGAGGGGGCCAGGATGGATCCAGCTGCTCTGGATGGTGGACTCTGGAGAAGACAAAGGCTGTGAGGTAAGACACACAGATGGCCAGCAGGGGGCAGCACCTGAACGCAGGATGGGAACCTCCAGAGACCAGTTTATACCTGGCCACCCAGAGGAGCATGATTTTACAGGTTCTGGGGCTTAATGACCTGTTAGCGGGAGCAGGGACGGTTCTGAGGATGATTCCACAGCCTGGATGAAATTTCCTTCAAGGGTATGTTACAACAACAACCACAACTGATGCCTACCGGGTGCCAGCCACTGCTTGGGGAAAACAAAGGGCAAAGAGCTAAGGTGCCTTTCCAACTTGATGCTGTGATGCCAGGCTTACCAACCATCCCCTCTGACCTTTCCCACCTCAACATCCTGCTAGATCTGACAAGTTCCAACCTGTCCTCGGGACACCCAGCAGCCCGGATTCTCAATGGGAGGGGAGGTACATACAAATGACTGCATGCCACAGCATCACCCGCCTTGATGAAGCCCCTAAAGCAAGGCCCCTTGATGAACTGGAGTTGCTTTGAACAGAAATAGAATCATTCATTTGTAACAATGGGAATGTGAGGGTGTGTGTGTATGTGAAATCCATGGGGGCGGTTATGGTTGCTTCTCATAATCACCTGGAAGTGACCTTTGTTTATAAACCTTGGAGTTTCCAGGAACAAAGTCAGTTGACAACCACCATCAGAAAAGTGAGGGCATGTGACCACAGTTTACGTTAACCGCCCACACTGCGTATTAACAAGTCTGCATAAGAATCACTCAGAACAAACAAACCCATAGAATGCTGGACCAGGTCCATTACGACAGAATCTCCAGGGATGGAGCAAGAATCCCAGACTTTTTTAAAAAAATATATTTTATTGATTTTTTTTTACAGAGGAAGGGAGAGGGACAGAGAGCTAGAAACATCAATGAGAGAGGAACATTGATCAGCTGCTTCCTGCACACTCCCTACTGGGGATGTGCCCTCAACCAAGGCACATGCCCTCGACGGGAATCAAACCTGGGACCCTTGAGTCTGCAGGCTGATGCTCTATCCACTGAGCCAAACCGGTTAGGGCCATCCCAGACTTTTAATAAGTGCTCCTGATGGCTACCAGGCTGGCACAGTTCCAGGAATCAGAATATGGTCCACCTATACTAGAATTAACTGGACTGTTTGAAAATGCAGATTCCAGGGCCCACTCCAGATCCTGCTGGATTAGAGTTGGGACTCAAGTTTCCCAAGGGTTCTTATGCTACTGAAACCCTCTAGACAGGGTTTCCCAGCCTTGGGCTGGATAATTCTTTGTGGGGGTTAGGGGGAAGGTGAGGGGCGCTGTCCTGTGAAATATAGGATGCTTAGCAGCACCCTAACCTCTACTCACCAGATGCCAATAGAACCCCTCTCCCTGCTCCCAGTTGTGACAACCATATAGTTTTCCAGCTATTTAAAAATGTTCCCTGGGGGGCCAGGTCCCCTCCAACATGGGGAGCCACTACTCTAGATTTGACCCCTCAAGTGATTGATAAAAATTTAACCAGTTTATCGACCAAGAGCCATTGCGAAAGAGGATGAGAAGCCTTGATGAAAGCTGGTATCCTGAGAGCCAGGGTGCCCTGTGAGCCTTCCCCAACAGGCCTGGAGCTTCTGACTTGGTCCACGCCCTGGGGAGATGGGAGCACCCAAGCTTTAGGGGATTATTAGGTGTCTGAACAGACTTATTCCAGCACCATGTGGTCCAGGGCTGGAGGCTCATTGGAGGCCGGGGTGAGGGAGGGAGCTCTGGCGTCACACCTGGCCCAGTAGAACCTTGAGGTTACCCTGCAGGCATCTTCCCTGAAGAAGGATGGTGGGCATGGTTGGGATGGATATTTCCAGAATCCCCACCACAGCTCCCTAACCTCAGGATCAAGGGCCATGATGGCAGCACAGCTTTTCCTCCCTTCTGAAAGGGTCAGCCTTTCACCTCCTGACAAAGACCCAGGAGACATTGGGATGGTGGTTTTCTTTACCTGCCCATCCTGTGTCTCCACAGCAGGGGTGCCAGACCAGATGGACCACTACAGAGGCTGCAACCTTGATGGGTTGTGATACCAGCTGCAACAGCCTGCTCTTGGTTCACAGGAATCGATTCAGCAAACGTACACTGTATGTCTCTTCAATCTTTCTGCCCAGCCTCCGGAGCTGGAGCTGTTCACCTTGCCTGAGCAGCTCAGCTCAGCTTAGCTTCAAGGTTGAGAGTGCAGAACTGAGAATTGGGCCCGCCTGGGTTCAAATCCTAGCTCCACTGATTATACAGTGGGGCCTTGACTTACGAGTGTCCCGACTAACGAGTTTTTCGAGATATGAGCCATCTCTCGGCCGATTTTTTGCTTTGATCCAGGAATCAGAGTTTTGGAATCAGGCAGTGGCATTTCTCAGGGTGGAATATGGTCCACCTATACTAGAATTAACTGGACTGTTTGAAAATGCAGGTTCCCGGGCCCACTCCAGATCCTGCTGGATTAGAGTTGGGATTCAAGTTTCCCAAGGGTTCTTATGCTACTGAAACCCTCTAGACAGGGTTTCCCAGCCTTGGGCTGGATAATTCTTTGTGGAGGTTGGGGGGAAGGTGAGAGGCGCTGTCCTGTGAAATGTAGGATGCTTAGCAGCACCCTGACCTCTACTCACCAGATGCCAATAGAACCCCTCTCCCTGCTCCCAGTTGTGACAACCATATAGTTTTCCAGCCATTTAAAAATGTTCCCTGGGGGCCAGGTCTCCTCCAGCATGGGGAGCCACTACTCTAGATTTGACCCCTCAAGTGATTGATAAAAAATTTAATCAGTTTATTGACCAAGAGCCATTTTGAGAGGTTGCAAACCCTTGATGAAAGCTGGTATCCTGAGAGCCAGGGTGCCCTGTGAGCCTTCCCCAACAGGCCTGGAGCTTCTGACTTGGTCCACGCCCTCTTTATTTTTAAAAATGTATTCATAATATTCTGTCATATGGATTACCAAG